GCCTCCTACGTAGTGTAGAAAGTGGGAAGAACAGCGTCCACAATGCCATCTCTTTTCAGTCCAGGGAATGGCGGCCACCATGGGAAATGGAGCCAGGAACGACCCCTGCCTCTCTGAGTCTGTTTCCCTGCTGGCAAGCTCTGGGTCTGCTAAGTAGGGTGGGACTACGTCATCTCCCGATGCACTGGGCATGTGACCTCACTGGGGTATTAGAAATTCCCAGGTATGGGCCGGGCACGGTGGCTCATGCCTGTAATCCTAGCACTTTGGGAGGACAAGGAGGGAGGATCACTTGAGGCCAGGAGTTCAAGACCAGCCTGAGCAAGAGCGAGACCCCTGCCTCTACTGAAAATGGAAAGAAAACAGCCAGACAACTAAAAATAGAAAAAACTAGCTGGGCATGGTGGCGCATGCCTGTAGTCCCAGCTACTCAGGAGGCTGAGGCAGGAGGATCACTTGAGCCCAGGAGTTTGAGGTTGCTGTGAGCTAGGCTGATGCCCCGGTACTCTAGCCCAGGTAACAGAGCGAGATTATGTCTCAAAAAATAAATAAATAAGAAATACCCAGGTAGGCACAGCAGTGTCCATTTATAGTACTGGAGCTGTTAATCAGCAGAGGAAATTCTTGAGCTGAGTTAGCCTAGAAGACTTCGACAAAGAAGCTTTGCAGATAGAAAATGTGAGAAAAGAAGAAATAAAATAATCTGGTAGTCCCACTTTACCATCCTACCCCATGAGCATGAATAGGGTGGGGGACGGGGGTGTGAATTTGCTGGTCCTCTTGCATAGTATGATCCATGGCTGTATGTGCAAAGCCATGGGTCTTATACATCACAAGGGCATTATGGAATGTTCCAGAATCACTGTCTTCACTATTTCCAACTTACGCCCTCTGCCACATGAGATGCAATTGCACTGTAATAGCAGAACTTTGGAAACAGTCTGTGTGCACTGAGGCCAGTGCTAAGCACAGCAAGAGATACCCACTTCTAGAATAAATAACTATTAGTAGTTTTACAAGGAGTCATCATGGCATACATAGGAAAGTGTATCTATTATTGAGAGATGTAAAATAAATAGCAAATAAGTGCATGAACGATATGACCCCACCTATGATTCTGAAAATACATTTTTAAAGCCTAGAAGGAAGAATATCAAAATATTAACTTTGCCTTTGAAAATTATTTTTATACTTTTATTATCTTGGTTCTTTACATAATTGGGGGAAGAGGGGGGAGCCAAAAGTTTTTAGTTTAGCACAATGCTTGCTAATCCAAAGCTATAATGCAGAGATTTATAAATTAGCAAATACTTCCCCTCCAGTGCACTTTGTTGTGTAAATCCAGATTTTCCATACATAACATGTACTAAAAAATAAAGTACCCAGGAAATGAAGCAATATCTGTATTTGTTTCAAATGACTAATGAGCAAAAATAAAACTCTGGCCATGATGCCATGCTTTTTAGAAATCAGACATACAATAAGCCACATAGGATGTGGTCTAATAAACCCTAGAAAAGTTTCATTTCCTCTCACCAAAATGGCTAACTCCCTGTTTATGTGACTAGCTTTGCAAATTTAGCAGAAGTCTCTTTTTCCCCTAAATTTATAGGTTGAGAGGTTAATACGCAGGTAGCAGGAATAATGTGCCCCCCGGAAGCCCCCCTATACACACACCCTAAAAATGAAATAAAAACAGGCTCAACACTAGCAAAAGGGTGGGTTAACCAAAAAAATCAGAAGGGACAGAGCGTACCATCTGGATAATCCCCGACATTGATCAGGAAAAGTTTATTGAACTTCTAAAGAGGAAGGAAACAAGGAATAAGGGAAGAGTCTGGACAAAGAACTTTTTAAAAGTTTGTTTGCAAGTATTTCCCTGAAAATGGTATTGACTAAGCAATTACAGGAAAAAAACACTTTCTTATCTGAATGCAGTTATGCCATGGGTCACACCCTATTATTGTCACTATTAAACATGTTAATAGCCCCAATGTAATGACTTTGTGTGGCTAGCTTTAAAATGTACATGAATAGCTAACTAGAAAGTGACTCATCCCTGCCCAGGTGGGTATTGGCTTTCTTAGTCATATTTACTCAACTGGTCTACCAACCTTCATTCCCTACAGAAAGAGATCTTTGAATCACGCTGAATTACAAGGGAAGAGAGAGCAGGGACAATGACTGCTAAATACGAATGGGGTGGAAGGTATCCCGAATGTTGAGACTTGTAAAGTGAGACCTTGGCTATCCTGAATCAAAAATGTCCTCCCAGCCCCTAAGAAGGCTGCAGGTAGGACAGAATCAAACACAATCTCCTTTAGCAAGTGCAAGACATTGGTGGGGAAGGCTCTGAACCAAAAACCATAGCCATGGTCTTTCATTAACAGCAATTTTAGAGATCCCATTCTTTAGCTATGTGGTCTTGAGCAAGTTGCTTTACTTCTCTGTGCCCCGGTTACCTTATTTGCAAAATGGGGATAATCACAGCACTTGCCTTTTAGGATTGCTGTCAGGTTTTGAAGAGTTAATATAGGCAAATCACTTATAGTAGTACCTGGACCATAGGAAGGCCATGTTAAAAGGTCAAGTAATCTCTGTGGGTACCTAGTGGAGCAGGCTGGATAATATGCCATTATCCCCACCACTTCCCTTTAACAGATATAGAAATTGCACCACACAGGGGTGAAGCCCCTTCCCAACAGGGGTGATAGAAAGTTGGACTCAAACTAAGTTCTCCTGCCTGCCAATCAACATGCAACTTCCACGACACCGCAGAGCCATTTCTATCTATCATTCCCATACTGTGGATAAGATTTCCATAAGCCACTGAGACCCTTGAAGTAGTGGGTACTAGGAACGTTATATACAAATTTCCATGGAAGCCTACAGGGAAAGCACAACTGAGCAACCCCAGCAGTGACAGGCCCATCTCGCTGACACACAAGAATCCAGCTGCGCGCCTGCACCAGATAAGCCCACCAGCTCTCTCGCCAAGCACCCTCTTATAAACAGCCCATGCATGAGCTCCTTTCGCCAACGGGGGAACTGAGGCATGGAGAAGTAGTGTTACTTGCCAAAGTTGGCACAGCCCATAAGTGACGTCTTTGCATCTGGCCTATTCACAGTTGTGGCTTTAGGCCTAATCCTGGAAACGTGGCGTGCTGGCACCTCCCCAGGAGATGTTTCTCAGTCCTGAGGACAAGGCTGAGAAATGCTCACAGTCACTGGCGCCAGGGATCTAATCGGCTCCTGCGGATCTCGAGTTATAAGGAAGAAACCCAGTCTTTCCGTTTCGTTTTCCTCATTCTCAAAATGGGAACCCGGCCCTCCTTTATCTACCTCCTACCTCGGACCAAAGATTAATGAGTTACCATTTGCCAGGCCCTGATGGCTATGTTCATACGGCCTTATCACGACAGTCAGCATGAACAGCTATGCTTATTAAAGGCTGAACCAGGGAGGAACTGCTGAAGAAAACGTTTCCACCAGGCCGTGGCTACCGCAGAGAAGAGGTGGCCTCCCTGCGCTGTCAGACCAAGGCCACTTAAAGAGTGTGGTCTTCACGCACACTCACCGCCTCCAGGTGACCAGGGCAAAGGCGTGCTCCAAAAACAGGCACGGGCAGAGGCAAGGGAGTAAGAGTACGAAAAGTTGGAAAGACTCCAGAAATATCTTCCATTTTATTCATATCTGGCCGAAGAGGAAAGGTTAGACCAGAGGATTTCCACGGGACACCAACTTTACAACATGAAGTTATTTACTAAAGACAATTAAGACGCGTCACAGTGCAGAAACACATCGCTGATGGTAGAAGTGACAAGAAAACACAAAACTGCGTAAGGGGCAATTCCAATTTTGTGAAACATTCTTAAAGTTTATGCACATAAACGACTAGAGAGAAAAGCACCTGAATATTAAGCGATTAGCAACGGGTACAAAGAGGACACATATTTACATTTTCCTCTGTGTTTTTCTACATGTCCCCAGTTCTCTTAAGTGACTATTTACTATTTCCTAAGCTAGAACAAGCTTTCAAAGGTGATTTATTCCATGTTTTCTCTCCCCAAAGGCACGGCGTACGTCCACATGCCATATACCACTCTAACCTCTGCCGGGGGATCGTGCCTCCTGTCCTTGTGTACTCAGCACAGCACCCAGCGCCTACTACGTACACAGTAAATGTTTTTCAAAGACAGTGGCTTTACTAATTGGCTCATACATGTGCACTTTTTCTTTTTTTGAAAAAGCTAACATTAGTACTAAATCATTTGCTGTTTAAATCTAAGAGTTCCTTTAACATTTTTTATCTGCATGGACTTTTGCTTTTCTGAAGATAAGAGCGTGTTCTAGATGCTCTTTATTCTCCGGGACGACTAACTTGAAGAGCACTGTCACTCCCAAGCACGGAGCGGTATAAGCACTGACGTTACAGTGGATTATTTAAAGGAAATTAACAATGCTTCCTGTCCTTGGAGAGCGGCACCTGTGAGGAAAGCCGTTCACTCAGGTATTGCTGCAGAAGCGGGCATTTTTCGGAACCCTGAATTTTAAGAGATAATCCGTAAGTTCCAAATGACTAATAACAACAAGGCAAAGTTGGGGTGATAAACTCCTCCTTCACTGGGATCTTTGAAGAGCCCCAGGAACGCGCTGGCTGGGGGCCCCCTTTCATGGGACAAACGTGCGGTTCGTCACTGTCACGGGAGCTGACACGTGTGACACTGCATCCCGCACGTAGCCTTCCCTGGGAGCCAGGCGCCCCGGATTCACGGGCACACCGGCCTCCACCCTCTCCTTATAAACTGGCATCTTTATGGTTATGATAGCCCTATCAGTGGCCAGCACGCCCAGACAGCGCGGCACCCGGAGTGACAGCAACCCAGCAGGAATTCAGCCACCGTGGTGTGCGGCCCGCCCCAGCGAGAGGTCAACTTCGGATGGGCGCATTCATTTCAGAGCCAGCTCATCTCATACCGCCGTTCTGCTCCGAGACCTACCTCCACGCACCAGGCGTCCCCAACTTTTTGTAAGGAGTGGCTCCTTTTCATGTCCCTGAAGACTTGAGTGCTGACAGTGAAGTCTGAGGGGGGATAGAAGTGCTGACAGTCATGTCCCTGAGTGCAGCAAGGGCGGGGGCTCTGCTGCCAGGAAGAAAGGGGGACAGAGTGAGGCTCGGGAGGGAGGGAGGGGACACGGTTACCCAGGCACACACAGCCCCCAGCCTGACTTTCCGTCCTGACCCACGTTTCTCCAGAAGCTCCAAACTCGAAGGATTATGGGTCCCATCAGGAACCGGGACTCTTGCACCTCCCTGCCGCTCGGCTCGGGGTCCCCTCTAGGGTCACCTCAAACCTCTTCCAAGCAGCCTTTCGGTCGTGTGCCTTCCCAGTATCCCCACCCCTGCCCACCACCCCCCTAATGGGCGTGGCTGCTCCTTCCTCCGGGCCTCTCCAGAGCCAGCAGCTAGCATTTTCTCCCTCAACTTACCTTACTGCATCTCCTATTAATTTGAACCAGGTGAAACTGCTGGTATTTCTGCCCTACAAAAATGCAGCTACCTATGGTTCCACCTAATATTTGAGCTGTTTAGAGAGCTAATCTGCTTTTTTTTTCTTTTTTTTCTTTTTTTTTGTTTAAGAGATGGGGGTCTCGCTATATTGCCCAGCTTGGACTCAAACTCTTGGGTTCAAGTGATCCTCCTGCTTCAGCCCCCCCAAGTAGCTCTGGGACTACAAACGCGTGCCACAGGGCCCAGCGGATCTATCTTAGCTAGCACCCTTCCTCTGCCAGAGCACAGCCTTTTGAGAGAAGTAACTCTGGACCCCTCGCAAGAACTGACGGCACACACCAGAAGTATATGCCGCTTGAATTTCAACACAACCGGAGCCTATCACGAGAGCTGCTACTGTTTGCTGACTGCCTGCTCCACGCAGGAGTGCACTTGTCATTCCATCAATGCTCACGGCCGGTGTGAGGTAGGTAGTGTCATGCCCATTTCACAGAGGAGGAAACTGACTCAGAGATGGTAAGGAGCGTGCCCAAGGTCACACAGCTAGTAAACGGCAGAGGGGGATACAGACCAGGTCTCAGTCAACTCGCAGACGGTTGCTATGCTGACTCGTTTGCCTGTCTACATGTTTCCTGTGGCTCTATAAACAGGGTAGACAATTGAGGGCTGGAAGAGTAACCTGGGGTCCAAAAAAGGGCTATTCCACAAAGAAATATCGTTCTAATTTTCTTTAAAAAAAAAAAAAAAAGACGATGATGTATGCCTTCTCAACTCCAGTTTTTGAAGTTTTATATGAAGGAAAATTCCATGAACAAATTTTTTCTCCCATTTCTCAGTATGACACTAATGACTATACACAGTATCTTACAGGTTCTTATATCTGCTAAGTATCGGAATGAACCTAGTGGGTACCGAAGACTTCGGAAGATAGAAAATTGATGAACATAAAGGACAAATGTATAAAACGGCAGCCACATCCCGAAAACTAGAGCTACCCAGGGTGCGCGCTGGCGGCGGCTGACCCTGTGTCTTGACTTTGAGAGCCACCAACCGTCAGAAGCCCAGAGATCGGCCCCCCAGGAAGGGTAGCCGAGCAGCAGAGGAGCGCTGCTGCTCCACCCCAGGGGTCTCTGGTCTTCGTCTGGGAAGCAGAGCCCCCCGCCCTGCCTTTCCCCACAGTGCTGGTTTGGGAACAGGAGCCTGAGTCATGAGCCAGGCATGAGTCCATTTGAGAGATCGGCTCAGTTTTACAACCAAAGTGATCCTACTGCTTTGCCACAACAGTGACTCACCTTACTGCCTTGCACCGAAGGTGACTCGGTTAACACCCTGATTGTTTCTAGAAGGAACCCAACAACGCAGGGGTTTACATCCTCGCCTGCTTGCTTTGTCTCACGACACCACGCTGAGAGCACAGAGGCAGGGTTCCCAAGGGCAGTGCCCCAGAGAAGGAGTTTGGGAAAGAAATGCATCCAGCGTTGCCTTCGAACACATCGTCTTTATCATCTTCCACAGCCGTTCCTCCCCAGCCCGCACGCGCACAGGGGCGTGTGCCTCTTGAGGAAATGTTACACACACGCCCCCCTGTACGGATCTGCATGCTATTCCACGCTGGGGAACACGGAAGTCAACTGTGTAGGTCACGTCTAGCAACCCATTAGGAGCTCCAGGTTTGAACTTGTAGAATTAACCTTATCTTATGAGCCTACCCTGCTTTCCTCTTTATTCTAACATCCTTAATTATTCATTTCCATTCCTTTTACAATATACAAAGTCTTTAAACCACTTCAAATTTTAGAGGGTACAAGATGTGTTATAAAAAAATTCAAATGTATACACAATATAAAGTCATTTTGATCCATGAGAAGAACTATAGTTTTTTTTTTTTTTTTTTGAGTCTTCTTTTAAAAAAAAACTCTTCCATGGGCCATAAAGACTGGGAAGTAGACATCTGCTGAATGTTCTGCTCAGTGTCCACTCATGACTTCTCTGGTAGCAATGCCAAATTACTGAGGAGAACACCAGGCTGGCCCTCCAGCCATGTCGTTTAGGTAGAGTGAACCCAACCCCAGCTCCAGTGGTGGTCAAGTTTATTCAGTCCAAGCCCACTCAGCACACTATAACCCCTTATCATAGACACTGGTTGAGAATCAAGGTCACAGACTTGTAAGGGAAGATGAGATCTCTCTGGATTTGAATAAGCCCCTGTACAATGAAGACACTGCAGGACAGTGGAGCCAAGAACTGGAGGGAAATGGTACTGGCATGTGAGCCCCTGGATCCAGCCACGCCTGATGTCCGCTACCTCTGGACTTTTCAGTTATGGGCCGATACATTCATTTTGCTCAGGCCAGTCTGAATTGGGTTTGAAGAGAGAGGGAGAGGAATTCCGACTGGAGCAGTTCAGTCACCTCAGCCAGACTGACCTGAATAACTGTCCATCCACGAATGAAGTGGTAATGTGGAAAAAACTGGAGATGCTCCAAGAGAAAGTAAATGAAGCTCTTAGGAATTTCATGCTCCTGATGTGAGGGGACTGTTAGGAGGCAAAGTGCTGGGGTAGGCATTTGGCATTTGGTACTTCTTGAAATGGGAGTGAACGCAGCTCGAGGCCAGTGGAGGAAGACCTTCGGCAACCACACGCCAGCTGGAACTGCCCCATGGGCCCCTCTTCTCCTCTAGGGTCTCCAAGAAAGCCACTGACCTATTTTAAGATGTGGTCTCCGTGAACACAGCAGACCCAGAACGTAGCGGCCACAAATACCGAGCAGTGCTAAAATCTGCCTCCTGTCTCCAGAAACACTGCCTATTTGTGACAGAGGAGCTCAAGAGGTGTGTTTCTTCTGATCCTACTCCAAATAAGCGATAATTCCTCCTGAGTAACTGCCTTCAGGCCAGGACAGAAATACGTATTTACCTGCTTTCAGAACTGAACTACATCATCTCTTCCTGGGTCTTGAGCCTACTGGACCTCCAAATGGGAACTGTACCATCAGCCCCCATGGTCCTCAAGGCCTTTGGGCTCGGACCAGAGCTACACCATCGACTCTCCTGGGTCTTTGGCTTGCCAGCTGCAGATCATGGGGCTTGATTATGCAGAATACGGGATTCTATAATTGTGTGAGCCGATTTCTTATAGCAAATCTCTACACACACACACACACACACACACACACACACACACACACACACAGAGACATACATCCTATTGGTTTTGTGTCTTTTCTGGAGAACTTGAATGCAATGGGGTTGTGTTTTTCATGTATTTTCCCCTACATAGCAAGGGAGAAAGGATTATTCATGGGTCTCTAACGGAGATCAGAATTTTAAAATGGAATGAGTATTAGAAATCACCTAATCTAATGCTTCACAATTTTTTTTAATCCCCAAGTCTAGATGTAAAAGGACCTATCCAAGACCACACAGCTGGAAAAGAGCTGAAACTAAAACCCAGATTTTAAAGACCAGAAGGTTCAGGGTTCTGTGCATAAATGGGAAGATTTTCTTTTGAAAATGCAACATCTTTGAAAGAAGAAATCCATTTGAAAGAAGGATGTTCACAATTCCACTAAAAATAGCAAACTAGTAAAATAATAACGTTTAAAAAAATTGGTAAGAAGGTAAAATCCTCATTTCTCCATCATTTACTCACATACACACACACGTACAAACAAGGACATCAAAAAACAAACAAGCAATAGCAACCATGCAAACAAATCCCACACACACATAGCCTTGGAGAGAGAGTTAAGGTCTTTACAGGTCACGATGATCTGGCTCTAAGCACCACCAATAATTCTCACCTCTGAAGGTGAGGTAACTTTGATGCAAACTAATTACGTTTCAAATATGTTGTCAAACAACTTAACACGGAAGCAAAGAAACTGTAATCAGAGCTCCAGACAAGTTACTATTTTCATCGTTAAAGACAAGCCCAGTTCTTCCCCAAACCAAGACATCGTCATTGACATGGCAAATGTATGCAATACTTTTTTCATTATTATTTTAAAATAATGTATGACAAGGTGTGAGTGTGTGCACGGTGTGCACACATGTGCATGCATGTATGTGTAGGTGGGCAGGTACTAGTAAATGTGGAGGATGATGCCCTGGAGTCAGGAATGGCAGATGTCCCATATGGCAGGTCCCATAGAGCAATTCCCTCCCCCTACTGTGTCTGTATCTCTGAGCCTCCCTGCTCAGAGCTGGCAAGAGTGGAATAGAATCACCATCCCTGCACTCAAAAGACACAGAAATGAAGTCTATCTCGGCCCTCGAGGACTTCAACTTAGTAAGAAGGAGACAAGGATCCAAACAGAAGCAAAAGAGAACGAGCGCACAAGAGGCTACCTACACACTTACCTTCACAAAGCACTGATCACCCCTCCTCACCCTCAGCGCACACACAGCATGGGGTCTCCATGCCACCGCCACCCCCTACCCAACTGGCTGTCATGACACATGAGGGTGATGGCTGCCGGATGACTTCTAAGGGCCCTGTCCACATCCCACATGCTCTGATTCTGCAGGGCTGGCAAAACACAGAGGAGGGGATTCATTAGGTCCCCAAATCTGTAAGTACAAAAGCAATGTGCCTCTGTTTCTGGGCATGGCCACTATATAATAAGAGGG